AAACTCAAGCAATATCCTTCCACAGGGAACTATATCATCCATAAAGGAATGTCTGCAAAGTTTCAACAGTTCTACCAAATTCTTCTAAAGAATTAGTGGGACTAATGACACCACATCAGTAAAAAGATAAAGAGTAGAAAAAACAAAGCCTATCTGTGCTTCAAGCTTAGATATAGTAAGTGGTCAAAATCAGTTCTTGGGATTCCTAGGTTACAGATCTAAAAGATATCCACCCTAGGAAGCAGCATGATCCATTACTATCATCTGGATAACTTCAAATTGAAATATCCAACTGCAGGAATTTAGAACAATGTGCTGTAAGTAAGACCAAAGAAGTTAGGAAGTATGAATTTTCCTTGTTCTGTCCTTAATTTGTTTATAGGTCAGACTAATTAATGCATTTTCTAGGATTAGAAAGTAAGTTAATATGTTAGTGGTACAAAAAAGTACTTCTCAGCAGCTACTAGCAGTCAGTTCATATTTAAATATTGAAAGGAATTAAGAGCACATAATCATTAAATGACATAATTGGTCCATTCTTATTAAATCACTACTTAAAAATTCTATTTGTTTCTACCTGCTGTAGAAGATATTAAGGCAAAACCAGGCTGTCCTGTAAGTCATATAGGCACATTATAGATAAGATGGTTTCAAATACAGATACAAAAACTTAAATGAAGCAAAAGCATTGAATTATTTGACTTGAAGAAACACTCTTGTCCAAAGTCCACTATGACCAGCCAGAGATGAGCTGGTACTGGCAACTTCTGCCAATAGAAGTAAATATGAACACTTAATGTAGTTATAATTTTCAGAGGATAATGCAATTGGGTGGTGCTGTTCACCATGATTAGGGTTATCAGCTCCCACAAAATTTCTTCTCTGAACTTAAAGAAAAAACAGATTTTTTTTTTTTTAACCAAGCACCAGTTAATTGCTCAGAGCTGGAAAATTTGTGCTAGTAACTTCATATGAAGTTTTCCTTTTATTTTCTGAACTCCTATGACAACTTTTGTATACACAATGCTTCCAACATCTTAGATTTAGTGTAATGAAGATAGAGTAATACTATAAAGGGGCAGAACACTCCAGTTCAAACAAAGAAGCCTGAATGAAATTCTAAGCAGACAAGTCCAAAGGATTCCCTAATAATAATTAAAATATATATACTATCTCTATATACACATACCATATAGAGATACTCTGTCGTATAGCATATAGTGCCACATATGTTTTACCTCTATAGAATCTGTTCCCACAGAAGACTTAAAATTAGTACATTTGTGCAGATGGCACCCATAAAAATCATAATCATGGCTAAAAGTACATTAATTTCTTGGAGTAGTATCCCCTAGTAAAGGGCTCAGAGACAACTAGACACTATGAAAATGCCTTTCTGCAATGTAAATCTTGTATATGAGTGTACAATGTTCTTACTGCCAAAAGAGGCTGGCAAATTTTACTGAAATAAAGGCCCAAGACTTGATTTAATTCAAAAGATTAACTGAGGAAGACAAACATCATTAATGAAAATGCAGGTATCTGTAGCAAGAACATCACATCAGGCATTTGAATGGTCTGTTTTCACACCATCTGAATATTTACTTCTGGGAATTCAGAAGATAGTTTAAAGTTGATGAAAGTCATGAACACACTGATCTACCTTGAAGCAATGTTTACAATGTGCACAGAATTTCGATTTGACACAACAGGGTACTAGAACGCACAATGCAGCAACATGATATAATAATGTAACTACTTTCTAAAGCAAACTGATGTAATTACAATAAGAGCCCATGTTTTTTTCAGGGCACTTAACCTAATCAAATCAAGAGCAGTTTCAAACTGTCCCTCTTTTGTTTTAGGAGCTTTTAATCTCTGACTGCCAAATTTCAAAGTTGGAATCAGCCTCCAGTGTCCATCAGAACTCTAGCAGTCCACTTAGTAATTCTAAATAATCCATGAAGAGCACATAAAAGAGATTAGAAAAAAATTCTATCATCAGGAAACTCGAAATTCTTTTCCAGAACCATCACCTGACACTGAAGTACTGCAAGGATCTATAAATTGTAAAAGGACAGAAATCCACACCATTACTCATTAGCCAAGAGCAAAAAGAAAACAGCCTAAAAGTGGCCTCTTTGAAGAGCCTGAAAAGGGCCAGAATAAAATGTTCTACAGGGCTATAAAACCTTTGCCATCAGTAATCTGCAATTACAGAGCTCCCCTGATCACAAAAGACTTGCAACAGCAGTTGAAACAGAGTATTTCTGAACATTACTTACAGGTCTGTGAATACAAATGTATGAACTGTCAGAACTCAAAAACCCTTAGAATGCTGCAACAAACAGCTTCAAAGGAAATAAGCTCTTCTAGAAATTTGGTTAAGGTATTAAAAAAATAAGCAAGATCCTTGTACTTGATTGCAAAGAAGGAGAATGAATCACAAGTTTTCAATGACCTTAAGACTTCTGTATACAAAATGAATTATCACTGGACAGCGTTTTTAAGTAAATAATTTAATCAGGGAGGCTTCCAAGTACTGTCAGAATCATTTAGAGCTGGTTTTGAGTTTTTGCTTTAATATTTGACACTCTGTTCAGAAGATCAGTAACACAACTAAACTAATTACCCTTCTATGGGAAATCATAGCATGCAACCAATCTAACCTACTTTTTAGAAATTCAAAGTATACAAACATTTATATGGCAATTCCATTTTAACATGCATCTGCCAAAACGCTGTCACACACAGATCCTAAGATCTTAAACAAAGGCAAATGTACTTTTGGCAAATGTAACTGACACTAGGGCGATGGGGGGGGGGGGTTGGCAAACAAAACAAAATCCCATTACACAAAATGAAAACCCCAACCCCCATACTTCCATTACCTAAAGACAAAGTCTTCAAGCATTCTTGAGAGCTTTGTTCTGGCTTATGGTTTTGAATTCAAAATTTGAGAAGCAATTGAATGTCTATTCCTGCAGCTTCTCATTTGAGGTGTATATCCATGAAAGAACAACCTAACACACCTTTCCTGCTTTCCACACAGTTTCTTGGGGAAGCACACTCAGGTGCAGGAACACAAGTACAGTTTGTATCTATCTGTGTGTAAGCCTCCTTCTCAAACTAGATGGAAACAAAAAGAATGCTGATGAACACATGCAGTAACATACTTCTTTTTTTTTTTAAATGGGACATTTTTTTCCAGTAATACTGCCTGTTAATTCTCATAAGGGCCAACTTCAACAAGTTGACCAGAGCAACCACATCTGTAATTCTGCCTATGATCAATTTTAGTGAATTTTAGTGACAGAGTGAACTCTGTCATTTCAGTCAGAATTAAATCTCGAAGTGAAAAATGACATCCAAGTGGAAAACATTCTCCTGTTTGTGTACAGAGTACACTGAAATGCAAATTTTACCAGCTGCCTTGCTCAGACACCTTCCTCAACTACTACTGCTAATACAGACATGCCTACAGATGAAGTGAGGTTTGAAGATGGGAGGGGAAGTGCACGTGGGGGAAGAGGAAAACGCATTTAGTATTATATCTGAGGCATATCTTCAGAAAATGGGAATAAAAACTCCACTATAAAGCTCAAATTAAAACTTTAATACTCGGGAACCACTGTTAAAGATGTTATGTTTTTGTGGTGAGCAGGATTTATGATAGAGCGAGCAACTTCAGACGTATTCCCAGCCTTTTTAAGAAAAAAAAAAACAACCCAGAACTCAAATCTTCAAAACTGACAAAAGAACCACCATCTAGACTGTGTACTACACCAGTGTCTAAATAAACTAGATGTTCTTAATATAGAACATTGACACAAATTCCTTGGGTGAAATGACCCCACCTAACATTCTGACCGTACTGTGGCACTTCTGCTCAAATATACAAACAGGTGATACCACCACAGTACAACAGAACCTAAAATAACTTCTACCAAAAATAGCACAAGTTTCATGAGCACCCAGATTTCATAAACTCAAATGCAGTACTCTAAGTATGTTTCTTGACCGAATTAGCTCTCAGAAAGACTGCAAATGCCATCCTCTCATGCTATTTTCTCTTAGTCTCCAGAACCAGCTCCAGAGCTTCAATTCATGTCAGCTCCCAATTCTCTTATGCTTATCCACCAGGATGTTTCTTCCAGGCTATCCGTAAACCAAACACGGAGCATTAATTAATACCCTTGTAGTAAAAGGGGCAAGTAGCTGAAGGTTTGCCTGAAAGCTGAAGTCTCGTCAAACACTAGCAGGGTTGTATCTATGTCATTGTAGTCTACTTGGCTTGATAAATTCTAGATAAGCATCCTTAAAAACCCTACTTGTACCAGTGCACTTAAAGATTTAAAGAGCAAACAACTGACAGAAGTTAGGAGATCCAACACATGGATTCCGGCACACAGGGAAAGCCAGGAGAACACAGCTGTTTAATTCAACTCCACATGGAACAAGATGGGAGCATGCCCATTAAAGTGACGACAGCCTGGCTCTGTGCACTAAACACAGAGTCAGTTTTACTGCTCATGGGGTTCCTTTCCGTACAGGGAAAAAAAAAAAAAAAAAAGTATGAACTTCGGATCTAAGAAAATGCAGTCTTTGTAAGGTTAGCAGCCATACCGTACACGAGCCCCAAAAAAACCCAAAACACAGAGAAGTGAGCAATCCAGCAGCGGGCAGGGTGGAGCAAAGGCGGGACAATGACCTAATAGGTCTTTTCTATCTTTAGTTTCACGAGGCTCCGTGGCCCAAGAGGCGCCGGGATGCCCCGCTCTGCCTCCGGCCGCGTCCCCGCGCAGCGCTCAGCGCCCCAGCCGAGCTGTCCCGAGCTCGGCGCTGCCAGAGGGATCCCGAGGAGAGGGAGCCGGCAGACAGGGATCCCGAGGAGAGGGAGCCGGCAGACAGGAGCCCGAGGCAGCGCTGCGGGCACCGGCAACGCTCCGAGTCACTTCTCAGCTATGAGAACACAAGCGAGCCGCGCTGCCCGCCCTTACCTTGAACACTTTACCGAAAGCACCATCGCCCAGCTCTCCTATGATTTCCCAGAACTCCTCCGGGTTCAAATCCCTCTTGACATGCTCGTATTGTTTCTTCTTCTTCTCACCGCCCAGCTTAAAGATCTTACGAAAGTTGAAGAAGGACATCTTGGCTGCAGCCGAGGGATGGGGCGGGCGGCGGTGCCCCCTCCGCCCGCCGGGACCACCTGGCGCGGGCGGTGATGCCGGGCGCGATTCCCACGCGGAGACCAAAGTCTTGGCGTCGCCCGGGAAGCGCCGTCACTGCGGGGAGACAACACCCCGCGATGCCCCGAACGGGGCCGGGCTCGGCGCTGCTCTACCCGAAGGGCTCGGCGGTCCCTACTCGGCCGGGCCGGTCACCATCGCGGCAGCAACAAGTGCCGGGCTCGCTCCTCGGGACGGGCGGCGGCGGAGCCGGAGGAGGGGTCACGGCTCCGCTGGGAGGGGGCAGCTGCTGCGCGCCGGGCAGCGGGGAGCGGTCACGTCCCGCCTCGCAGGACGGGGCGGATGCAGGGAGGGGCGGAGGCTGCCCCGCTCCAGGCTCCCGGCCGGTATCCTCGCGGAGCGGCGTCCCGGGGTGGCACCGCGGCGGAAAATGACGCTTCGCTGCCGGCCTCTCTCCCACTCGCTCGCTCCCTCGCCCTGTCGCGGAGCGGGGCCCGGGCGGCTCCGCTTCCTGCGGGGCGGCACCGGCGGCACCTCCGCCCCCTCCGCCCTCGCTCCCGCCCGCCGCCGGCGCGTGCGCCCAGCGCTCCCGCCCCTCTTCCCGCGCTCCCGGAACCGCCTCGCGCCCCTCCCGCCGCTCCGCCGCCGGCGCACGCGTAGCAGCGCGCGCCCCCGCCGCTCCCCCTTTTCCCCGGCGCGTGCGCACGCGCCGCACCGGCAGCACGCGCGCGGCCCTCCCCCGCCAACGGCTCGGGCCCGGCACCGGCGGGGGAAGAGGCGGGGCTTGTCCTGCCCACGTGACGCGGCCGCCGCCGCCCCAGCCAATAGGAACGCGCGGAGGCTCCGGGCGGGTAAGTCGGTGTCGGGCTCAAGATGGAGGGGGGCGCCCTCACCCCCCCCACCTTGTAGCTCAGAGCAGCGCGGCAGCGCCGGTGTTGGGATCGAGTGCTCGTCCCTCCCTCTGTCCTCTTTCCTTTAGTCCGCTGTGTGCCGTTACGGGAGGGACGTGTGGTATAGAGACCCTTTTTCCTCTGATTCTGGAGGACACCCCCCGCCTCTCCCTGCCGCGCAGGGAGGGTGTCCCCAGCCCTGTGTAGAGGCTGATGCTCCCTAGGCGGGGCACAGCTTCCCCTCAGGGCTGGCTGGGTGCCCTGAGTCCCCAGGCCCGCCGCGGGAGCGGGGGGCCCTGAGGGGCTCGCTGTGTGTGTCAGGAACGCTGTGAGGGCAGGTAGTGCTTCCTGGGGGGCTGGGGCTTGGACGTGGAGCTCTGAGGAAAGCGTGGATAGCAACAAACGACGTTGGAAAACTTTCCTTTGTTTGTGGTCCGGTGCTGTCCCTACACCTGCTACGGGTTTATCTTCTGTGATAGCAGGGTGCGTTGTTCTTGTGCTGCCCGTTTGGTATCTTCGGTATTTTATTTAATCACTGGGACAGGCCTGAATTTCCTTATCTCACAACCTTCTCTTCCCACAAGTGATTCCTTCCTCACCCTGAAGTATAATTGCATTTTAATAGTTGTGTTGTGTACATGCCACCCAATGTGGGGCGTTTCCTCACTTGAAAGCAAGAGGCGTTCCCGTTGCCTGGATTAGGGGCAATTAGCAGACCCGGGCACTGAGTTTGGGCTGTGACGGGCTGCAAATCCATCCAGCGATGCTGAGACCTCAGAGACATCTGACAGTGAGACAAACACCCAGGGAAAATCGTGTAATGCCGTATCCTCGTATGAACCTGAGTGCCTGCACTTGCCATTAGCTTAAGCTGCGTGATGAGCTTCTGAAGATCAAGCCTGTGGTGTGCATCATTCCCCAGACCATTTTATTAGCGTGACAGTAGTTTGCTATATGAGGAGGATAGTCCGTGTGTAAATTCAGTAATAATAATGAGGCATTAAGATGCCCCTGACACAAAGCGCTTATGAATCGAACAACAGTGTTCTGTCATGAGTCAATTTCTGTAAACTGTATAAAATCAGTTTCAGGGGTAGTCCCACCCTATGAATAGAGAGCCTTTCAAGTACTCGTGCTAAACTGATTTGTTGTAATAATCAGCGTTTGTTTTTCAAAAATGGTATTCAGCTTTATGGGTTCCTTGTACTGATGGCTCTGCCACAAAAGGTAAAACTGTTCAGGAGGGTGATAAAACCAAGGCTGTTTATGTGTGTGTGGGCAAAACCAAGAGCCAACTGCAGTCCCAAGGATCTGTTTTATCTTCTGTGATCTGGCTGGCTGGCTCCACCTATTAATTTCCTAAGCAAGTTTCATTCTGATAGTTTGAATTAAGTACGATAACAAAGAGAGTGTTACCAGCAGCAATTTAACTTCTCATATCTTAATTTTTAAAGTTCGGTTTATTTTTCTTCTCTATAATTTTTCTTTTGCCCCTGCAGGTGGGATGATAGCTTTGATTTGGATATTAAAATACAATGATGGCTTAAATAATAATTTTCGTTAATATTTGTAATTTATTATTTTGATTTTAACTTGCTTTCTGTTGGATAAAAGGTGCTTTGGGACTAATTTCTGTAGGTTTATTTAAACTGACTGGTTGATAGAGGATGGGGGGAAAAAGGAATCCAAAGCCATAGCATGAATTCCTTGTATTGAGGCAGGATTATCTTTTCTTTAGCCTCAGGGTTAATGGCAAGGTAGTGGGAGGGGGGCATGGGGGTGTTTGTGTGAATGTTAGAGTTTGTAATAACTGGAAAGAAATGCAAAAATAAAAGAAAAATTGGTAAGTTATATGTGAACAAGAGCAGTTGAGGTGGCAGCTGTGGGCTGGGATAGCAGGGCCTGGTTCTGCCTCAGCTCTGTTACAAACGTTGGGCTGTGCAGAGCTCACACACAGCATCTCTGCCTGGGGCAGTTCCTGTGTGACAAAGGGGGCTCAGAGCAGAGTTTGGTGCCTTCCTACCAATGACTGAACCTTAGCAGGTACTGCATGTGTGCTGCTTTAGACTTGTATAAACAGTCTGCCTGTTCCACAGAGCTTTTCATTCATATAACATTGAAAATACAAGATGAAAGTCTGGTATGAGAAAGGAGCACTTAATCTAGTGATGAGGCTTTGCTTTTAACTTCTTCTTTCTTACTCTTCAACAAATAATTCAAGATAAAACCAGGATATATGAAAAGGAAAACTATGACTCCATCTCATTTTTTCCCTTATTCTTTCACTCTGGAATTACAGCTTGCCACTCAATCCTGAAAATAAACTCCATGAGGTGAAGGTTAAGTACTAGTAGCAAATCCTTCCCAATTTGCTGTGACTTCCTGGTTTGGAGGAGGCTGTATGAAGCCTGGATTTTGTGTGTGGGGTTTTTTTTTGTTCCTGATAGCAGGAGTTCTTAGCAACTGTAAATGTTTCCAGATGGTAAGGATAAAAAGGTAAAAGTGAATTTTATTAAAATTTTTCCTTTAGGAATTTAAAGATGCTTTTTGGAAATTCATTGCTTCCTTTAAATGTCAGGGGAAGATGTTAAAGTAAAGATGTTAAAGAGCTATCTTGATTGTGCATCAAATATACTGGCTTAAAATAGCTGTAAACTCTTTATGACAATCCTTTTCATCTCTTTGTGAATTAGAAATCTCCTTTATACTTCCTGCTGCTTAATATCACTATCCTTTCTCATTGACTCAATCACTTACACTTGCCACTGTTCCTAGCTCCCTCTTTAAGCTGTTTCTTTTAAACTGCTCCAACTTCTCTTAATTGAAAGTAAACACTTCAGAAATTTAATTTGAAATGTGTTCTTCACAAGATTTATTGCCCTTTTGCTGCAGTCCTACATTCTATTTTCAGTTCTTTCAAAATATTTAATGGTATATTTTTATATTGTCTTGACTTTCTGTCCACCCACGCTTTCACTGATCTCCAAAATTCTTTGTGGTGATTGAGCTCATTGAACTGCTGTAAGGTCACAGGTGGCTTGTTTGTGGTTAAATCTGGAGTGTAATTCTTGTTTCATCCATCTTAATCTGTCTGTCACCTTTGGCACTCAGCACTGTCCTTTCTGTTCTCTTTAATCGATGTACCCCGTGTTTTTATTGATATTTTCTAGTTGTGTGGTGGCATTTTTTCATCGGCTCTGATCTGTTCCCAAAGTTAGCACTTTGTGCTGTATTGGGCTCATTTCAGTCTAAGCACCAATGTAGCTTCTAGATGGCTGTAGTGATGCCCAGTGCAGGGGGATGATTGCTGTCCTGGACCTGTGCTCACACTGTTTCTGATAAAGGCCACCATGCCACTGGCCTTCTTGGCCACCTGGGCAACTCCTGGCTCATGATCAGCTGCTGTTGACCAGTGCCCCTGGGTTCTTTTCCTCTGGGCCATTTTCCAGCCCCTCTGTCCCAGCCTGTAGCCCTGCATGGGGCTGTTGTGACCAAATGCAGGACCTGGCACTTGCCCTCCTTGAGCCTCACGCCACTGGCCTCAGCCCATTGATCCAAGCTGCCCACATGCCCCTGCAGAGCCTCCCTTGGCTCCTGCCAGCCTGGGGGTGTTTGTGCACTCGATGCCCCGTGCAGATGATGGATACAGATGCTGAACAGGGCTGTTCCCAGCTCTGATCCCTTGGCACAGCCCTCCAGGCAGTTTTGTGGCCAGCAAAGTGAGCCCCTGTCCAGGCCATGGGCTGCCAGCCTGTCCAGGAGAATGCTGTGGAACACAGGATTGAAAACTTTGCTGAAGTCTTCAATAGGACAGCATCCACAGCTTTTCCCTCATCCATTGGGTGGATCATCTGGTCATAAAAGGAGCTCAGGAGATCAAGCAGGACCTGCCTTCCCAAAAGCCTTGTTAGCTGGGCCTGACCCCTTGGTTGGCCTGTACATGCTGCATATACCACACTCCTAAAGGCTTTCTAATAAATGTACCATTGATAGAGCTGTGTCTTAGAGACTGCTCTTTCTGTTATGCAGAACAAAAAGAGACTTAGTCTTGTACTCAGTATTTTGTGAGTGTTTATGATATGAGTAACACAAATAGTTCAGTCATAAATAATACAAACAGGAAAAAATTATAATACCAGAGGCTGGACACTCTTGCTTGCCCATATCTTAGCCAGAATCAATACTCAGGCTCCTATCAATAACCTGGGTATACTACTATTTATTATATGGTTTGGGGTTTTTTGCTGCCTTACTGCAGGACCAGTTAATCTAAGAATTGCCATAGAAACGTGGTATTTGGAAGCTTCAACATATAAGGATATAGCTTGATGTTTGCAGTAAAAAAACATTGAATATTAAAATGTTTAGGAATAGGATTGATCTAATTTTGGCTTCAGAAAAGTCTGTGTGTTTAATCTGAATTGGCCATACTTTTTCAGCAGTCAGTGGGGAAATGTATCTTCACAGGGCAATTCACCTTCCCCATTTTAGATACTTATCTTTATCACAGTATTTGACTGTGTGAGGTGAGTTTTCCTGGCAACATATAATGG